CCAAGACAAGTAGCCTGTGTGTGTGCAAAGTTGTGCCAGACACTTCTGCTCTGGTGTCATCCTGGCACTGGGAAATTTTCCTTTAATAGGAAATTAAAAGTTGCAAAAAGCTACATTGAGAGCTTTGATAGATCTGACAAATGCAGTCCTGTGAGAGGATGAAAACAGAATTGAAACTTCTGAAAACTCCTTTCAGTAGCAGATTATCAGTAGATTGGGGAACTGATTGAACTGGTGATAAATACCTTAAGTACACAGCAACAGGATTTTGGGGGAAGTGGTTAATGCTGCATTTACTGGTAGAAAATTCCTGATCTACATGAAGTTGTGGTTTGTGTCGGTTCTTGTAATAAGTATAATGAGGTTTATGGTAAATCACAGAATCATTAAGGTTGGAAAAGACCTCTGAGATCATCAAATCCAACCTGTGACTGATCTCTGCCTTGACAAAACCAGAGCACTGCGTGCCACATCAAGTTGTTTCTTGAACCTTTCCAGGGATGGGGACTCCACCACCTCCCTGGGCAGTCCATTCCAATGCTTGACCACTTTTTCTATGAAAAAATTCTTCCTGGTGTCCTTTTGATCTCTGCCCCCATGCTTAAAGCATTCAAAGGCACAGTTTAGACTTTGCATCCATGTCTGGAAGCCTACCAGGAAATAATCAGTTTGTCTTAAAGTTGTGATACGTGTTTCTTGCTCTACTGTAGGAGCTTTTTGGTAAATACAGCAAGGATTAAACATTTAAATATGGGAGAATTACAAAAGTTTGGGATGCAGTTATGTCAAAAGATGGTTATTACAGGTTTTTGTAGCTTTTTCCACGTGGCCCATGGGAATACTGGTTTGAAGCAGAGACTGAGGACTGGTTATGGTTGTTGGAGCAGCTTTTGGGGGAATTGGGATCCTGAAGTGTGGTGTTTTCTTTGGTTGTGAAATGCCCAGGGCAGGGCAGTGGCCAGTAACTGTTACAAGTGGGTGAGGGAACAGAAACTTCATAAATAGCCAAGAAAGTTCCATTTCTTTCCGAAATTGTTTCCTTAAGTGAGTAATTTTTAGGACTCTACTTTGAGAGCAGCCACCCAGCAGCTCTCAGGTGTCAGGCATGGAAGGGCTGACTTTGAATCTTCGTATTACGGAAAGGAAAAGCCTTGTTGTGCTGAACTGGTCTGGGGTGCAGACCTGCTGCTGGGTGATTATCAAAGAATGCATCTGGTAGGCAAAGACATGTCAGCCATAAAGGAAAACAACCTTGAAATTCACCTGCAGTTTCCTAATTACTTGGGGTCAACTTAATTGCAGGCTGGTGGCAAGAAGGGGGATTCCACAGCCCCCTCGCTCCAGCTGTGTTTTCCCACTCCTGTTGTAATGGTGCAACTCCTCGTGGGCACAGCTGGGCCCTGAACAGGGAGCTGATCCAGTGCAGCAGAAATTAGGAAGGGAAGGATGGGATATTTTCAGCAGGATCCCTCTGCTCTGGGGGGTCCCATGCAGCCATGTGGGGTGACAGAGGCAGGATGGACAGGGAGTCTAACAGGGTCTGGAAGTACCTGAGAACATAAATTCACTCCAAGGCAATTGTTGTTACATTGGGTAGAGGATTGACCCTCCTAGTTTTAGATTTTTTATTTTGATACTGCCTGAAAGAAAGCTTTTAATGTTTGTTTTCTGGGGATTGCTTCCAATGACTCCCACACTTAGGAGCATAAGACTTTCTTGTCTCCTCTCCTCCCACTGCCTCCCTCCCACCCCCAGTAAATTTGTTGAAATGGGTCAAAGTAGAAACCCTGGAGAGAGTTCTTTAGTTATCTCTGAACTGTGCCTGCCCTAAATCGATGGGACTTTGGGGCAGGGGGAGGGATAATGGCCTTGCTCGTTCTCTCAAGATGTGCTCCAAGCAGTGACTCCCTTTCTGCAGGTGGCTCTTTTGGGCCACAAAGTTCATTAGCCAGTGTCGAATCAGTGGAACTGAAGCTTCCAGGCTTTGAATCCTTTTCCAGAGCCAGGTCACTGCTGCAGCACCTTTGAGCCCTGGTTTTTGTTTGCTTTTCATTGGAACCCTTTTGATTTCAAAGGTGTGAAGGATGATACTGAGACATGGGCTCCTATTTTTGACTCTCCAACACACTTCTCTCTGTGCAGAATTATATCTCCTTTTACTTGTTATCTATTTAGAGAGTGATTGCGAGGCTTGGGAAAGTCTGAGTGTTTCACAGTACTCAGGTTTGAAATATTGAAGTTGCTACTATTTGCTTCTTAAAATGAGCTTGTTTGCAGAAATAATGCATTGGCCACATTAATTTTTTTTTTTTTTAAGATTGGGCTATCTCATGAGATTGAATCACAAAAGTATAAAAAATCTGCCATTAGTCCTTGTGGGTTGTAATCCTATATCTATTATTAGGTTTAAATAAATGAAACTTGCATTGTACACGGTTCAGATCAAGTAAGGAGGAAAAGATTAGCAATTTTCCAAACAGTTTTGATTTGGGTCTTATTAACTATGACATGGCTTGAAGATTTAATACCTTATTCTATATCAGATCACAGGGTTAGATACCTGCTGCTCCTCAGCTGGAATTGAATCTTACGCTCTCAGTTGCTCATCAGTGCAAGATCTGGAGCTCGTGGGCTCCAGCCCCCAGAGTCAGCTCAGTGCAATGGTGTGCTGGCAGCTCTCCTTGGCAACGTCTGTGCCTGATATGTCACAGAAGGAAATGTTTTGTGGGGAGGAAATGTCCCAAAAGGAATTCAGAAAGTAATGGGAATGCTCCTGGTGTAAGTGCGCCGTGGCACCGGTATCGATCAGGCAGTGAGGGTGAGAAAGTCCTTTGTCATTTGCTACCTGACTCTTCATTGTAGCACAAAATATGGAATTTAATAATTTTTTAATCAGTTCTTTTCTTTCTTGTCTCTAAACTTGGAAGCACAGGTCTTTAAAAGCCTCGCTTTTCCATTGGTCAGGTTCCTTGCTAGCGCTCAATATTGGAAACCAAAGCGCTCGGCTCTTTGCTCCACTGAAATTCCCTCTTACTTCATGATTTGTGTTTTCTTTGCTTGGCTCTAAATGTGTGCTTCCTTTTTAAATATAGTTTTCCAAGTTTCTGGCCGTACCAGATTGTTTATATTTTTTAAAAGCCTTCTGCTTAGCCGTTATATTGCTCTTTATAGTTCTGCTTAACCACATTGGTTTCTGTTGCTCTTTTTTCTTGCATAAACTTAGCTGGGATGAATTTCAAATGTGGTTTATCCAACTGTTAAGTATTTCCCACTTTTCTGCAATAGATTTCACATATGTTTCAGAATTCCAAACCAAGATCTGGTGGACATATTGCCCTGTTTCTTTACTCAAAGTCAGATATAGAAGGATTCTTAAGCATTTCAGTGACAATATTTAGGTCACTGGTTCCAGCACGCTGCTTGGCTTCAAATCCATTTGTCATATTGAGCTGGTTTCCAAGGATTAGGATAACTATCCATATATTTATTTTTAAAAATTCATAATTTTATGGTAATAAACGTAAAAGGGGGGAAATATTATTGGTCCTCTTGAGTTGGGAACTCAAAAGGTTTTTTATTTTCCATCCAGAGGTCAAACTGTGGAGTTACATAACATGTCCATCCATCCAGAATTTACATTTACCCATTCAAAAATGTACCTAAAATTAGGAATTAGGTTTTTTCAGAGTATTTAGACAGTAGTATTTGTATCTAGTGACAAGTCAGCGACTTGACCACCTGTTTGGGGTCTGGTATCACACCTGATGTGAGGTCCCAGGTTTGTGCTTTTGGTCACTTACAGGTGGTTGAGTTACGAACAAATTCCAGAAATGTGGCAAATTTCTGGTGGAAAATTTTGGGAGCTTTGCAGGCAGGTTGGAGACACCTTGGCAGAGGGATGAGGTGAAGGTAGTCCTGCTCTAGCATTTTGTTCTCACTTCTCATGAACTTTTCCCATAGCCAGGTTTTTCTCTTTTTGAATTAATAAGAGGATAAAACAGTGCCAAATTTCTTTTATGAATTCTTGATTCTCCCAGTGACTCAGGGAATGATGTCTGTAGCTGAATGGAGGGGTTTGCCTTTGTTTTTTCATATTACATGGAAAATACAGCAGAAGAGGCACAAACTGACACAGAAGATTGAGTATTGTTGGTTTATGCACTGATAAGTGACCTGTTCAATCTATTATGGTGACATTTGGAAGCACAACACTGAGTGGAGGAATTGGGATGGGGATAACACACTTGGAAGAAGCTGGAAAACAGTGGGACCTCTGCTTCAGCTCAGTAGAAAGTGTTGGAAGATACTCTGACATTCATCAGGTGCTTAAAAAAAGATATGTTGTGGAGAGGAAATGGAGATACTGCTAATAACCTTGGAGGAATAGCTTCCAATAATAGGAAAAGATAATTTTTTATTCAAATAAGGCAAGACTTAAAAAGAGCATATAATATGGAATTATATACAGCATGTCATAGGAGATTAAGAGTGACTGAAGTGAACCAGTCCAGATTCAAATATAAGGTTAACCAATATTTGAATTAATAGATTTTTATAATAGGATAACTCAAAATAGGGAAAGCCAGTATCTTTAAAAAGCAGGCAGGTGAAAATACTTTGAATATGTCCAAGATTTGTAATCTTCACTGAACTTGGGAATTTATTAGGAGGTGGGTATTGTGTGCCATTGCTGCTGTCCTGTGTAATGCTGGGGTGGAGCCATGAATAGTTTTGAGAAAAAATGGTGATGTTTTGGTTGCAAGAGGGAATCCAAAAGGTTGTAGAGCTTCATTTGCTGTTATTCAGGATCTCAGATCTCTGGAAGCCTGGTGCTTGTTCTGTGCTGCTCTCCAGCCTATCCATCTCTGTATTCCCAACAACATGCTGTATGTATGAGGATTTTGGGAGTTTTTTTTTAATTTCTGTGACAAAGAGAGCTCTGGCTGTATTTTTTATTTATTTAAATTTGTTTGTTTGTTTATGTTCCTTTTTCTTAACAGAGAGAGCTCGATACCACAGCAACAATATTGGCGAACCGGCAAGATGAAAGTGAGCAGTCCAGGAAAAAACTTATTGAGCAAAGTCGTGAGTTCAAGAAAAACACTCCAGAGGTAAGAGAAAAGCTATCCCAGTCTCTTGCTGTAGTAGGTGGTCTTAGGCATGTGGAAGTGATGATTTCTTCTTAATGGTTTATTTCTATAATTTTCTTGTATGTATTGCCAGGTTCTTATCTAAGCCTGCTTATCTCTGGTGTTTTCATCATCAGGGAGCTTTTGTGTTCTGTAAATACTGAAATGTGGATTGATGTTTTCAAACAGGCCTGCCCTAAATCATATAATAATGTAAAACCTGGAGAATTGTAAAAAAAAAAAAAAATTCTTCACCAATCCAAACTCTTGGAGCACTTGGATGTAGAAAGTGACATTTTGCTGCCTAAATAAATCTATATCAAGGGCATAACTTCAAAGATGCTCATTTTTCCATCAAAAATCAAATTAAGTTTCGCTGTTGATTTCACTGGAAACACAAGGTCAGGGCTGAGCCAAACTCCCCTGGGAGGATGTGCAGGAGCACAAGGTGTGGGGTAAAACCAGTGGGCAAACTGGGCAAGGTGAATATTCCGTGTGAGAAGCTGGGAGTGTTTAAACTCCTCACTGCAGTTACCTCAAACCCACAGATAATCTCACTTGGTTCCCTGCTGAAAGCAGAGCAGTGCTCAGGGCTGGCTGGCTCCTCTGTTTGTTTTGTGGATTTGGGTATTTTTTTCCCTGCTGATTGCCAGCAATCTGTTCATCCAGGAATGTTGTGGCGTTTCAAAGCCAGTTCCAGATAACTGATATGCCAGCACCAGCTCCTTCCAAGGCTCTTCCTGGGAGGGGAGCAGCAGGCAGCTCTCCTAACCTTTAGTGCTGCTTCTCCAGCAGCAGATGCTGCTCTGCTTCCTGCGGCTGCAGAGGGAGGGCTGCTGACCCAGAGAGGGGGAAAGGGAAGGTGGGAGCAGGAGGGACTCGTGGGGAAGAGGCAGAGTTGTTCATCTGGTGCCCTGAGGAGGCTTTGTGGGGCAGAAATCAGTGCTCTTTGAAGAAGAGAGAATTTGGGGGCTGCAGCTTTGAAGGAACAGGACTTTTTTTAAAAGGAGTGAAAGAATTTGAAGAGTGAGTTCAGGAGCTGTGAGAGGGTGAGTTGATTCCCTTTGCAAACTATTGGGAAGGGAAGGAGAGAAGTGAAAGAACATGGAGATTATAGGAAATTGTACAGAATCCAGCAAATACATGGAATTCTAACGATTTTCAATTGTTTGCTAGAAGCTTAAGTTCATACTACAAAACCTAACTTGTTTCCTGCTGCCTTCCTTTTTTTCCTGTAAACAAAATGACAAATTCTTCAGAATGTGGCTGTAGCTGCCAGTTCCCATCTGAAGGCATGTTACAGATTTCAGGAGGATTTCTTTAAGCCAGTTTTATTTCTCTGGAGCAGAAGGGGAGCAACAAACAAAAACCCCCAAGACACTCCACTTTTTAATTGCATTGTGAGAGCACCTTGATAACTCAGTGGGAGAGGAATGTACAGAGGCAAACAGATCCTCTTGTAATTACTTTAAGAGATATAGTAGGAAATGATATGCAGTTAGTCCTTTCCAGTAAGGAGGATACAGAAGTTAAATCGTTTTGTGGGAAGGTTTTAAATATTATTTCACAAAATACAATTTGGTAGCCTCTATCGTGTTCCAGAATACACGAGTTTTATTTATTCAGGGCTACATTCAAAACAACACTCTGAACATCTCCACTGTTTGAGAAAATTGAGATCTCTGCTAGGTTCTACATCCTCATCTTTTGTTCTGGGACCCCTGTGAAACCACATTCCTCTATGACCTTGCTTGAATTTTTTAGGTTCTCTCTTTGACTGCCTTCTCTGCCTTGGTGCTCTTCTGCAGCTTTCTGAAGATAACTTCTACTTTCTGTGACAGAGAAAGAATGAAAATGGCATCAAAGAATTAGAAGAAAGCATCTGAACTGTAGGAATAGGCAGCTGTAGCCAACTTGAGATGTAGTTTTTGCCCCTGGGGCATGGAGGGAGCTCAGATGTGGAAGGTCTGTCCTGTGCAAGGGATTTGGTGTGGTAATGTGGGTGTCCAGCTATCTTTGCTGGAAAACTGCACTGGATTTAATCCTTACACAAAACTTACAGCTTGTGCAGTGTACCTTCACCTTCAGCTGTTTTTTGCACTCCCAAAAAGCAGGGAGGTTTGTGAATATTTCTCAAAACTTCAGCAGTTTTGGGAGGCAGTTGGAAATCAGAAGGCAGGATCAGTATCTGCAGCTTTGTCTGGAAACCTCCCCAGGGAAACATCCTTGAGGTGGACAGGGAATGCACAGGGAGCCACTGGCATCTCCAAACTGATACATTTGAGTTCCTAAAACAGCCAACGTGCTCTTTTTCATAACAAAAGAGTTCTGTGGCAGCAAACCAGCCAGGATGCAGAATGTTCTTCAGATAAATAAATAACCCAGTGTACAGCTCATTTTAAATTTCCACAATGAAGTAACAACTTTCTTGGCATTAAAAGAAGAAACAAAGCCACAAAGATGGAATTGTTAAATGTAACAATCTGTTTCAGAATTGTACTTTCCATTTTGTCTTTCATCCTGCTTGCATCTCTGTCAGTGCAGCCCTGGTTTAGGCTGTGCCAGCATCTCTTTTCCTCTGCCCTTGCCATAAATCAGGAGTCAAGTGTGGATTGCCTTGACTTTCCTATTCATTGCTGCCTCTGGACTTTCCATAATTTTGGCTTGAAAGTTATCTCCTGTGCAGCAGAAAAGGATTCAAAAAATGGCTAATGAAGCTGAGGATACTTGTGTTTCTTTTTAATTTAAAAATTATGACAGGTCTATTTGGGTCATTTCTGCTTTCCTTGCAAATTATCAAATTGCTGCAAAAGCAATACAATGTTTTCATGTTTGGAGGAATGACCCTAGGGCTTTTGATATTTAAAAATGTTAAAATACTATTTCTGTCTTGGCATACTGGGAGATGACTCTGGGAAGAAGTAGCTCATGTTTGGGTACTTTATGTGAACAGAAAATTCAGCAGTGCTTGTGCAGAAACTTTTGGAAAGGGTTCTTAACCTGTTATGGCAAAAAATACTTTTTGCCTCCTCACACCTTTTTGGAGGTCATGTCAGACCTGCTGCTCATAGATGTTTTGGAATATTTTCAGTCTCAATTTGTTTCCCCCCGAGCAGCTACTGTGGAAGGCTGAGACTGGTCAGGAGATTACTTGAAACATCAATTTTACATGACTGTTACTTGGAAGACATCTCAAAATATATCATGTGAATTGCCAGCCTGCATCAGATATTGTTTTCTTACAGTGACAAATCCTGAACTGTTGTGACCAACTGTGGTATTTCTGGGGTATTTTAACCTCTGTGAAATTCTTGTTTTGCTTAATTCTGTCCTCATATGCCAGTTCTGGTGTGAATAATAGAATGTTCGAATGGCTACCTTTGAGAACTTGGGTTTTTGAGTCTCTAAATAATTCCAGGTGCACAGGTTAGTAATTTTTAGCATGAAGTGCAGATAGTTCCTAGCGTTGATAACCTTGCTTTCGTTTTGATTCTTAGTTCAGTAACCACTTTTTGCTTACCTATTTCTGTTTTAAACATTGAAAAGCTTACCTAATACTTCCTCTTTTAAGCCTGTTTAACCTGTAACTCTCCATTGCTTTTCTCTAGGATTTGGCCTCATAAGCCAGGTAATAATTTATCTGTGGGGTTATTACCAGGCTCAGCTGAGCCAGGGGTCATTAAACTGGGCACAAGACAAAAGACCAGCCTGGGAGGGGAAATGAAATAAGCAACTGATTTTGTAATGGGAGATCCTGAGCTCTACAAAATCAGGCAGATGTGAGGTGCCTGCAAAAAGGCCAGGTCTAGAGACGGGAGCTTGTCCTGTTGCTGTGGGCCCTGGTTTTTTATCCTGATGGATAAAATGGTAAATTAGATGGGTGATTCCTCAGAGTTTTTGCCTTTTGCAGTTTGTGGGTTGTAAATAAACTCAACTGGTGAGATTGAGAAAGTCAAGATTCCCTTTAAATGCCCAAATTCCCATCCAAATCCTGTGAAGCAGATTAAAGGTTCAGTGGGCAGAGTCACCGAGGGATGTGGGAGGACCTCTAAGCCCAGAAACATTCTCAAAGGTGCTCTGGATAATGGAATATGGGAAAGTTCTAGAAAACAAAATAATACCTGAACACTGACTGGGTGGAGGGGGCAGCCTGCTGACTGAGCCCTTGGTTAATCTCAAATAAATGACATTTACCTGCCTACATCAAAGCTGTTCTCTATCAGTGTCACCCCAGCCCTCCCTGTCACCCCCATCCTGCCCCATCACAGTTCTGCAGTGCCCCAAAGAGAAAGAAAGATGCCTGTAAAATCTTCTGTTACAAAAGGAATGGTTTTATTCCTCATGTTGTGTGTCAAGGTGATGCATATCTTTAAGATCCAAAAGCTTTTTCTTTTTTTTTTTAAAAAATCATTTTAATTGCAAGTCATAAGGAACAAAAGGAAATTAAGACAGTTATTATGGAAGGGCTCAGTTTTTCAAGGCGCAAAACTCTTAAATTCTTTGTCTCCAGTGTTCCTGGAGTATTCTATTGAAATATCCAGACTCTACAGCAAAAGATAATTAAATTAAGGGTAAAAAAAAATAAAATAATTTGGCTGCTTGAATTAGTTCTTGAAATGAGAGCAGGATCTTCAGAATTGTGGGTAATGTTGATTCCCAGTGACTTTGCACAGTCAACTTTGGTCTAGTCTGTGTGACAAAGTGGAAATAATAACAAAATCTACTGAAAACACACAGTCTGTCTGAGGATAATTGATGTTCTCAGTGTCTGTGTACAGAGGGGTGAATATTGATTTGCTGCCATCTACAGCTGGGTTGTTCCATTCCTTTTATTGTTTTCTTTTTTCCTCCCCCCCCTCCTTTTTCCTTTTCCCACTTTCCCCCTCTTTTTCTTCTCTTCTTCCCTTTTCCCTTTTTTTTCCCCCTTTTTGATGAATACCTCTCCTTTCAGGTAATATTTAGGTGCCATGTCCTACCTTCCCACAATTTTTATTCTTAAGAGCTTTGTTTACCAGGTAAACAAGTTTTAGGATAATTTGTACTACACTGGCTTGGTACTTAGTATTAGTATACTTTTCCAGAAAAGTAATAAAATGTATCTCTATATCTTTAAATGGGATGTAAACACCAGTCTTGTTAACAGAGGGGTTAAATCAGATCTAACCTTATCCTGGACACATTATTTAATACATATTTCACTTTAGCATATTCTCTTTGTTCACATCAGTGTTCCTAACATCTGTTTCTATATTATCTCTTGCTGCCTTTTAATTGGAAGTGAGAGGACACTAAAACAATTATAATTCACAGTTGTGTTTTTCAAGGATTCTCCTGAAACTGACTTTCACTGACCACATTGACCATTCCTGCCATACTCAGTAAACTTCATTAGTTTCTTTTTTTAAATAATTGTCTTTATTGTCTTAACTTGTGTTGTTCCCAGCAGGGCAGCAGAATCTGTGCAATTTATTTGGGAATAACAGGGCTTGAGAAAGTCCTTTTAGCAAATGAGGCCATATTTGGGGGATTATTGCTATGTAGGATTTCATAGTTCATGATTATCAAACAGCATTTGTTAAGGTCTGAATCCAGAAAAAGAGTTCTCCTGTCCTGCAGAAATCATGATTGTGTTGTGTGTTATCAGGCAAAAAGTTTCATTTAAAGCACTTTGAGTTACTGTTTCTCTATTTGCTTTCATTATACCATTAAATGAATTTTCTACAACACATTTACCTCAAAAGTCCTTTTTGTAAATCTGAAAATATACAGGCAATTACTTTATTCAAGAGTTCTAGAAATATTCAAGAGGGGGACACATCTGATGCAACCAATCTCATTAGAGCAGTGGAACAGATTAATTCCTCTGAAGTCACTTGCTGTTAGTAATGTAGATTTATTTCATTTGAGCATTTTCCTGGTCATTCTTAAGAGCTGAAGAATTCACTTTTCTTCTCCCAGCACTGTCACAGGTATTGGATTTCAGCAATGCCAAGGGTGCAGCATTTTCCACTGCAGAAAAGGAGAAAAGGGGATATTTGGGGTATTACTGTGGTTTACAAAGGGACACACTTGTAAGCAAATATTTACAAGTTAATCTCTCTTGTTAAGCCTTTGATGCTGCAGAGTTTCTGCTGTCACTGGGGCTGAAAGAAGGCAAAGCAAACAGTTTGTTTTTTCCCTGGCTGTTCTTGCCTTTGCTTGAACCTTGCAGGGCTGACCCAGTTGGAAAGTGGCCAGAGCAGGCAGCGGGGCAGGGGAAGGTTGGGGGTGAGGGCTGAAACAGGAGAACCTTTCCAAGGTCACAACTCAAGGGAAAAAAAAGCTGTGTCTGACAGAACATTTGTCATCCTTCCTCCTGCAGAATGGTTGTACTTCATGTAGTGTGCATTAAGATATAACGTGATTTATTGATATATCATTGACTGGCTTTTAAGGGAAAATATTGTCATTTTTTTAACTGAAATAGATGAGATTTTTCTCACTGTGGCACCAACAATTACCAGCCATTCTTACATTCTGTTTTATGGTAAGCTAAGTACAAAACTCGGAATTTATATGGAGATCACTCGCAAAATGAGTATGAAATTCAGCTTCTAAATTTACTCTGAACGATAATTTGACTTATTTTCAAGAGTTATAAAAACAAAAGGCATCAATATCCCCGCTCTTCCTTCCTATGTGTATTTACCAAGCGAAGAAATAATTAAACACCTTCAATTAGTATTTTTCCTTTTTTTACTTTGTGAGCAAACGTTCTGTAACCCTCAGCTCATCTGCTGGACCACTTCAACTGGTGGTTTTCATTTTTAATTACACTCAGGTGTAATTAAAGGAACATGCTGTTCTCATTAAAACCACGATGTTGTCACAAATAACTCTTTTAACAGGAGTTACCAGAGATTCTTGTCGTTGCTCTGACAGTGGATAAGTGAATAGTTGGATCTGCTTGAAAGAAAACCAGAAACTATTAATATGGGGAGTAAAAATACTCACAAACCAAATGCTCGAGGTACAAATGATGGTTTGAAGCTTTTCTATTAAAACACCCTCCCAAATGCCCCAAGTTTCTGCAGGGCCACTCTGTTGTGGTCAGTTTTGGATGAAGTCTTGATTTTTAGGGGGAGAAACATCTTTAAAATGCTCTTAAAACCTATTTTCTTCCAGGAATTTTGAGTGTGTTTTGCTTGCTTAAAACAAACAAAAAAAAATGCTTCCTGGTAACAATTTTAAAGTAAATTAAATGACAGATGAGAATTAGAGCAGTTGAGAGTCATTTTTATTTTGGAATTCTTTTTGCATTAACACATCTGCAGTGTTGATGAATATATGGAAAAATGAAATTGTGCTTCTATCCTGCCGTGTCTCCAGTGTGACAATAAATCACCTTTTTTTCCTTTTAAAACGTCTGGCCTTGTAATTTATGTTTGCATAACCCATTACTAAATTCATAGTAGGTGTTTTAGTTGGCAGGCACAATTCCAGGGATTCAGTGGACCTATTTTAATACTGAGCTTTTGTTACTGTTCATAATTATGTGTAGAAATATATGTATTTTCTTAATTATAAAATACCAGCCTGCCTTAACTTTGGATCTCCTTTCACTTCCTCCACACAAACAGTGCTTTAAAGCTTTGAAAGAATTAGTGCTTTTTTGACTTGAGAAAAGAAATGGATTTACCAGGCTGAGGGTTTTTTTTTTCCCAGTTTTGAAAAAACAAAACACCAAAAAAGTAATAAAGTACAAAAAGCAAAGATGTGATGCATCCCTGGTGCTATTTAGAATTTTTGAGGATTCTTTATATTTTATACACCAGTTGTAAATATTTAGGGCAGCAGCAAGACAGTATGCAAATAAAAGAAGTTTTATTAATAACCATTATCTGGCCTGTGGTATAAATATGTATGACTCACATAGGAATAAACCCACCCAATAAATATAAAAGCCATACAAAACCATTAACAATTTTTAATGGACTTGCAGATGGAATAATTTAATGCAACTGTAGTTACTCAGGTTCCAGCTCCTGTAACTATTCCTCATCTCCTTGAAAGCTTTCATCTGAAATACATTGCCACCATTCAGGATTCCACCTTGTCTCTGTTTAAAACCATAAAGCTGTGGTTTCACAATTTTTGAAGCACTAACGCTTATTTATGGCCATAGTTCTGCACTTTTTAAGTACAGAGGTGGTTATTTATCTATTGAACATACAAGGAGTTTTTAAAAAGGAAGTTTTTCTTGGGAAGCAGCAGCACTAGGCCAGTGTTCAGCAGGAAGGATGAGGAGTTGGGAATGAGCTCTGTGCTGGGACATAATTAATTAATTGATTCATTCCTTCATTAATTCATTCTTGTCACCCAAGGACACTGGGAGTGTGTTTTCCCCATCCCTGGAAGTGTCCAAGGCCAGGTTGGATGGGTTGGAGCAACCTGGGATAGTGGAAGGTGTTTCTGTCCCTGTGGAACTGGATTAGTTTTAAGGTCCCTTCCAACCCAACCCATCCCATGATTCTGTTATTATTATTACTTATTAAGATTCAAGTTGTTAAAGGACCCAAACTTGGGACACTTCTGCCCCAAAATGGTTTTCTGTGGTTCTCTGAAATGGAGAAAGCAATGAAAGATGCTCAGTTCATAAATGAAAGCAGTGTGGTTTATGGAACTGGATGAGGTAAATACAGCATCATCACATCTCGTAAAAAGCTTCTGCTGTGGTTTTCTATATGTTTTGTTACTTACTGGGTAAATAACAGGAATTTAAGGTATTTTGAAGAATACCTCAGGTTTGTCAGTGTGTCCAAGTGTGTGTGTGTGTGTGGGCACCAAGGACCTTTTAATAAAACATTGCACAAGAAACTTGTGTTGCTGGGCTGAATGCTGATAGATGAGCTGCTCTGAGGAGAGGCACCTGCAAACATTCAGCAGCTTCAAAGCTGCTTTTAATCCAAAGCTTTGGTTCGGTGCGCGATGGCGCTGGGAGCGCGCTCAGAAACGCCCCAGTGTGTTACCATTTCTCAGCCCTGTTTGTCAGAAGCGATTTGAGCCGAACTCTTCAGCACTTTGTGTGCACTTTAGGGCATGTCCACACCTGCAGTGGAGCTGTGCTGGTATGGCCATGGCTTTCAAAGGCAGCTTTAATGCGTTCCTTGGCTGGCAGCAGCAGCCGGCGGCTCCTTTCAAGCTGCCTGGGCCTGGCTCTGGGGACTGCGCCGAGTTCCCAGTGCCACATCTCCCAAGCCTTAATCAGACAAATTAACCTATTGCTGATTATCCCCTTTGCCTCTAAGTCCTGCTGATGAGGCACTGAAGAACTGGGATGGGTCAATCAGCAAGACTCAGTGAAAACAAGAGGCCAGAGGTGGGCTGGGGGCTGCCTGGGCAGGAGCCGGGTTATCCTGCCCTGCAGTGCCTGGGAGCTTGGCTAGCTGAAAACACTCTCCCTTGCTCCATGGAAACCCTGTCCCTTGCTCCATGGAAACTCTGTCCATGGCTCCCAGTGAAAGTATATCCATTGCTTTTTGGGAAGCTGTCAATTGTCTGTAGGAAACTATCCACAGCTCCCTGACCAAGCTCTTCAGGGCCCCCCTGTGCCGGGCAGTGCTCAGCTGGAGGAATTGGGATCAGATTTGCAAATCACTTTGGAGCAATCCCTTCGTGCTCTCTAGCAAAAATCAACCAGGGACTTGGTTCCAGTGAGTGGGCAATGGTCTCAGTGATCAGAAGGAAGTGTGAGATCAGAAGAAAATCACCCAGTTTCACTTCCATGCTGATGTGGTGCTGATCAGTCATGTTATCACTCATGTGAATGCTGAAACTCAGCTTAAATCAAGAGTTGGGTGTGGAAAGCAGCACTCCAATGTGTGATACACCTTCAAACTCTGGCATCTCACTGCAAAGTGCACATGTTGCTGCCCTTGGTTCATCCATGCAGGTAAAATAAGGGCAGCAATAAAGAAATGAAGTGCTGCTTTGTTAGGAAAGGAAAGACATTATTAGTCTAAAAAAAGATTTAAACAAATTCAGCTAACTGGTTGAAGTAGTTCTTCAATTAATGCTTGAAAAAGCAATAAGTTTAAAATGTTCTTTCAGTCAGTCACAGGAAAAGGCATATATTAAGCTCACCTGTTGAGAGGATTATCTCTGCTAAACACACTCATTTTACTTGAGACCAAAATAGATCCTTAAAAAATTAATACTGAAATAGGTTTACAGTCGATAGAGAGATTTCCTTCAGACCTGTTTTGTGGTATGCTCATCTGCTTTTTCAGGAATTTTAAGCATTGAAGGAATGAAGTCAAAGCTGCTGCTTGTCTTTGAAATGGATGCCTCTTTGATAAGCCTCTGATCTCTGTACCCAGAGTTGTAGTAGCAGATTCAAACACTGATTGTAAAATTGGGAGACTAAAATGTAGCCACGACAGCTTCAAACACTCTGTCTCTCTGTCAGATTCAATGCACAGGACATTGCCAGGAGTTAAAACGATGCAAAATTAAAGTAGCCTACTAAATTTACCTGCCATGGAGAATCCACAAAAGAGCTGCCACTTCTAATCCTCCAATTCGTTTCAAATTATTATTTTTTCAAATTGGACTCCCTGATCTCTTCAGCTCAAGCTGTTGTAGAGATTTGAAGAGCTGTCTCTTCTTGTCAGATCACTGGTTTAATAATAATAATATCTTACGTTTATACAGTCCTTTTCATCCTGCAGCTTCCCAAAGTGCTTTACAAGCTCTCTATACACAAAATCATGCAACCACCTCTTGGGTGGCTGCTGCTCATCAGCTCTGGAGTGTCTGGCAGCTCCTTACCCTCCTTCCTCACTCACTCAAAGGCTCCAGGGAGGGAGAAAAGACACAGGGATGATCCCAGTGCATCCCAAAGGGATGAGAACCACTGCTGGGATGGCTTGCCCAGCCCAAAACTGGGCACACAGTAAAGAACAACCATCACTATGGTCTTGCTGGTTTGTTTTCTGATGACTTTTATTTCATTGTACTCACACAGTCTG